CTTTCTCGCATGGTTCTCGCCGAGGATATATATAAATATACGTAGATATATATTCATACAATTATACATACACACATACATATAAATTCAAAGATATATACGTATACATGCATACCTATCTATAAAAATAAGTATATTTAATATTAAATTTAAATTTTATTAAATAAAATAAATTAAATTGATACATTTTAAAAATGTATAATTAATTATTTCAAAAGAAGTTAAGTAATTGTTATCAAATAATAATATGACGTCCTTTTTAGCAATTTAAACTAAAATCACAATTGAAATCGTTGTTACCCAATAACACTCTAAATCCCAATCAATCGTCAACAGAGACGTCGCAAAACGTTGCGGTTCAACCAGTCCGGCAAGACCTTGTCAAGCCACCTGAAACAAAATTTTCTCTAGGGTAGTTATACATTGATCAAGATGAGGAACAACTTATTTAAAATACAAGTCGAAACAGAGAAAGAAGTGAAATGTAAACAAACCCTAACCAAATTAAACCAAGCAAAACCGATATAACAAACCGGGCATGTACTATAATAATAAGGCCGGTTCTTGGTATAATGAGCAGGGGAAACCAGAGACTGAAACTGATACGGCCATGCATATGGCCATGCATCGGTGTTCCAAAAGACACCTCGACTGAAACCCTAAAGCCAGAAGTTGTGTAACTTTTTGTCGGATTTTCTCTCTTCCCAGGATTATGTGCATGACTTTCTGTTTCCATCCATCCATGTCCATAAACTTTTTCTTTTAAGACGATGATGATAACAGGCATAATATGGATAGATCATATACAGAGCTCTTCCTTTTTGTCCGATATGTGAAATATAACAGCGAAGACAACGCCCTTAAGATGTCTCAAGCGGATTATGATTGAAGAGACGCAATCTCGCGTGGAAGTTCATCTTCTTTGAGTTGGTGAGAACTCATATACGTATATATATATATATATATATATATTCACGATATATAAATACTCATATAGTCATGTATAACTCTAAGCCAAAACTATTCTCCAACTTTTTCTTAGAGCTTTGGTAAAAAAAAAAAAAAAAGTCTTCTTAACATCACCTCTCATAAGTTTCGAAGCATTTTTATCTAAAGATTTCTATCTACATACATTATTGAATATATGCAGTTTTTTTTTTTGTAGTATATACAAAATATTGGAGTTTATTGTTTTCCGATAAAATTGTTATATGTTTTTGTAGGAGTTCAAATCGATGCTAAAGTCGCCAGGATAAGAACAAACAAGTTATAGAGGAGCAAGAAGATTGGGAAGAATATTATCAAAATGTATAAGAAATAACTTTAAAATGGATTTATAAAATTTGGAATATAAAAAAATTTAAAAAAAATAACGAATATGAGTCGACGTCTAAAAGGATCTTGCCCGAATATTTTTTATACGTTGGGGAAAAGGATAAGAGAGAGTGGCCTATCATGTGCCCTTGGTGGGTGATACAAAAGCACTGTGTTGAAGTGGAATGCAATATGGTTCTTGAGATCACCCACAAGATAGATAAAATAAATAAATAAAAGGTTTCGAATTTCAGCTTTTTTAATTGTTTGTTTTATAAAGTTTTAGAAATTAATTTTATTTTTATTACATAATTTGAAGGGAAAGCGGAATTCAATTCAAAACCAAGCATCTCCAATCATAGTGTCGTTGCGGCAGCAGCTTTGGAAGAGGCCCTTGTAATAACACCACCACTCAAAAATGAGAATCTGAATCATGATCATGGTCATTATGATGAATGATGATGGCCATCCATTTTGCAATTATTTATGGCTTCTTGGATCTCTCTCTAATCAGCCCCCGTCATATATTTATTTATTTAAAGTTTCACGAGATGACCCTACTTTTTCTCTTTATTAAATCATAAAATAGTTATGTAATTATATATATATATATATATATATATTGAGTGTAATCATATTATTGGAAATTCTTATTATTTGAAATTTTGGATTATAATATTTATCTATAGAGATTGAGTGTAATCATATTAGTATCCGATAAAAAAATCTAACATATAAAAAAAAGTTAAATATAATGTATCACAATATTGAGCTAATCTTTATATATATATATATGAATAATAGATAACAAAAATTCCCTTATTAAGTTTAATTACGCAACTATAAAATAATTATCATGAATATGGATTGAAAAATAATGAAATGAATGAGAGGATAGGTATATAAGGGTTCGATACAATGGTTTGTGTACATTAGATTATATTTTATTTAGTGATAGAATATACATCATGATCATGGCATAAAACTTGAATGATCTTTTCCGAAAATAAAACAAATATTAATTAGTGAATGTTGCAGAAGTAATTAATGCTCTAACTATGATGCATGCACGCATAATCATTTTGACAGAGAAGAGGCTCCATGGAAGTTAACATGATTAATACGGCATTTAATCTATTTGTTACTCCGTCCATTTTAAAATATTTATAGTTTTAGGTTATTTTCCATGTTTCAAAATATTTGTCATTCTACATTTTCAAAATAACCTAAAACAATAATTATTTTGAAACGGAGAAAGTAATTATTCTTAATTAATTAAACATGACTGGGATTCTTTGTTAGCTAGTATCCGTTACAAGCAAAGGTGAGTTGTTTATGTTCTTTTTCTATTTTATTTTATTTTCTAATTATAGTAGTATAAAAATATGATATTATTACACAAAATACAAAATACTTCTATATATTTATCAATGATAAATAAAAAGAAAAATCCTAAAAAATCATCAACTTAAAGATAGTTCCACAACAATTTTTTTTTTTTCCAAATTTCAAATTCATAAAGGACTTTCAAAATTTGACAAAAAAATAATCAATTTTAAAATTTTTGTAAAAAATCTAATCGCTGACAATGTCCTATCATTAATGAATTAACATTTTCGTCGGCGATTAGGTTTTTGACAAAAATTTAAAAAACCAGTGTTTTATCAATTTTTGAAAATTCATTATGAATTTAGAATTCCAAAAAGTTAGTTATGAATCTGATAATTATATTCGATGGTTTTTTCGGTATTTTCTCTACATAAATTTAGGATGAGGTAAAAAAAATGAAGTGTGAATGTTTAGGAACAATTACACCCTATACTCGAATGCTATATATAAACAAGTTTGAGGCTTCTAAGATGCAATGGATAAACATGTAAAATAAACCAATCATATATGCGCGTACACACACATATATACACACACGTGCGTGCACGCGCGCGTGTCTAATTTGAGAATGCAACAAAAAGATGAATGATAAGATCTTTAAAACTTCCATTGAAATGAAGTCTGGTTCGGGAAAATCACTTAACTATACCAAATGTGTCGCACCAATTTCAGCGATACACCTACAAAAAAATTAAATTTTTTTTTTCAATTCTATACCATTTTTAGGCTTAAAAAGTCCGAAATAACCTTTCTTTCATATTTTTTACGATTTTATTATAACTGTTATATAACTAATATACGATTAAAAAAATAGTATTTACGACCGTATAACAACTAAAGATCCTGTAAACAATTAGATATATTTTTTGTCAACTCATTTAGAATCAATTGCAACTGTATTTAGAATCAATTGCAACTGCATTTAGAATCAATTACGACTTTACAATTATAATTACACGGTTTCATTAAGGGTAATATAGTCTTTTCAAAAAAAAATTAATGGGTTATAATTTTTCGGGTGTATCCGAGAAATGAGTGCGACGCCTTTGGTATATTTGAGTGAATTACCCGTCTGGTTCATGGGGACTACGTACGGTGAAATCTCATTACTTCTCTCTTCGAGATTTTGAATCTCTCTCTCTCTCTCTCTCTCTCTCTCTCTCTCTCTAGATTCATTACTTCAGTCTATCAAAGCAAGAGAGAGAAAGGAACACTTCTGTTTAATCTCTCTCTCTCCCAAATTGGCATCAGACTCTCTCTGTCTCTTTCCAGCTCTCTCTGTCTCTCCCGCACTTCGAACTTGTTCTGTTTCATGCAAGATTCACAGAAAAGGTACGTACACAAATGCATGCACTCTTTCTCTCTAGATACTTCATCCTTCTATATATATACACACTCTTCGATCTATACAGCTTTGTGATAGAATAAGAGAGAGACCATGCATTGTTCTTCTTCCTTTGTGTGAATCTATGACGTTCTCTTTTGTGGTGGTCGGAGATAGCTAAACGGGTCGGTATTGGGCCGCAATTGGGCTTTTCTTTCCGAACCCGATTCAGAAGAACATGATCGTGTCAACGGATTGTGATTAGTTTTGTTGTTAATTAAGTTTTTTAAAAATCACTCGGAGAGATAAAGGTTATGAATGGTTTGAATTTCTTGTTTTAGTTTTTGGTTTTTGTTAATTGTTTCACTAAAATAGTTTTCTGAATTTTTAGAAAAACCAAATTTATAAATTCTAAAAACTCCTTCTACAAATGCAAGGAATCTAAGGACGAGTGAGTTGTTCGTTGTCAATTGTCACGTTTAGACCATATGTCTAACTGTTGCCAACTTTAAACTCTGTTTTGTTCAAACTTTGAAAAGCTAAAAATGGCAAAATCTGGTTAGTCTAGTTACGAAATTAATCACTATTATGACGTCGTTAATCTCATCTCTCACAATTTCAAAAAAAAAAAAAAAAAAAAGCCATAGACGCACAAAATGTGTGAGGTCAAAGTTATGGCGATCAGAAAACCTTGGTACCGGAGAGCAATGGAGATCGCGATGCTGTGGAGAATAACATCGATCCTTAAATCCAATGAAATCCGGAACCCGTCAAACCCTAGCAGCAGCAGCAGCAAGGCGAAGCAGCTGAGGAAATGCACGTCGTTGAAAGCGGCGGCGTCGTTCACTAGGGTTTGCCTCTGCGCTCCGATCTCTCAGTACGACGACGTTTTCCGATCGTACGCGCCGCCGAGGAGGAGCTCGAGCTATCCGCCGTCGAAGTCGATCCAGGCGTCGTCTCCGGCGATCGGGGTGAGGAGCGGGAGATTGAGTACGGAATCGGGGAGGAGAATATTCCGGGGGGAATCGTTGAGGGAGAACGCGTTGATGAGGAGATTCGTGGCGGAGGAAGAGGCGATGATGCAGAAACGGAGGAGAAATCAGATGGAGATTGTGAGGAGAAGAAATCAGATGAGGAGGAGGAAGCTTGGGCCCAGCTCTCTTTCTCGCATGGTTCTCGCCGAGGATCAAGAGTGTCATCAATGGTGATTTTTGAGAAATGGGTTAAAAAATTGGGACTTTTGTTTATTTGAATTTTTTTTTTTGCACCTCCTCTCCCACCATTTTCCCCCAATGTTAGTTTGAAATTGTTTTAGAAGGCTTTTTTTTTCGGATCAAAAGAAAGATTTTGATGAGTTTTGATGCATGAATTACAATTAAAATCAGATAATCTGCAATCGCGATTTGGGATTCCCATTGTTATAATTATTAAAATTGATCCAATTGAATATAAAAATAAAATTCAATCCGATTTAGATCCTATAAATTAAAATAAAGTATCACGATTTTATTAAATGAGAAAGAACGAAATATGGTGGATGCCTCCCATTGAAGAATAGTTGTTTATATGATCTGATACCATTTGTTTAGATTGAAGTTTTCAATTATCTGGTTTGATTTGATATTAGTGAATACAAGTTAATAAACTCTAATATTATCTCTAAATTGAATCCGAATTTTATTCACCAAAACTTCGATGAAATGAACAAAAAACAGTCGGATATGTTCGTCCGAACCGATCAGTTAATTGATTTTTCATGAAAACACAAATACTTATGACTTTGTTTTCAAGGCACTCTCAGTTCGGACAAAGCTATTGAATGTTACTCCTCCGTTTCAAAATATTTGTTGTTTTAGATTGTTTCACATTTTTTAAGAAAATTGATCAAAATTCACATATACCCTTATTTGATGATAAAAACCATGCAATCATTAATAATGTATTGGAATTTGGTAGGGATAAAATTGGAAACTATTATAAAAAAATGTCTTGAAAATGTAAAACTACAAATATTTTAAAACATAGAAAATAACATAAAACTACAAATATTTTGAAAGGTAGTTTTTGTTGAAGATAGAATAATCAATCTTGGAGGATTGGTTGCAATCACATGCAACTTGCCGTATTTACTCTTGGTCGTAACTCATTTCCTTGTTATACAGATTTTTCTAATTTATTTCCTTATTTCTCTATGCACTAGCCGTTGTATATGTCCCTATTTATAATCTTGTACATTCTTTTTCTAATTAAGAACATGAAAGGGACTTAGTCCCATTTTCACTATATACTCTCTCGACCATTTGATTCTTTTTATTTTTTGTTATCTCTCTTTGTTTATCAATTCCATTCTCATTCAAAAACATTCTAAATATCATAGAAATCTTCAGTTTTCACATGTTCTTTATCCGACTATAGACTATAAATTGCAAAAATACTTTATTCACTTTTTTGAGACCAGAAATAACAAGGTATTATGTATAATATTAGTAATATATATATATATATATATACATACACAGAGTATATAATATAAAACAGGATATGAGAACATAGCTAAATGATACGAAAACTATTTAAAATTAGAAGTGGAAAAAAAAATCGAATTTCGGGTATCGGTGAGATATATGATCGGCTAATGATATTAGAATACCCGAATTTTTGAGTTCGGTAATAAATATTGGCTTATCCGGATAATATAAAATTATTTTAAAAATCCTAAGATTTAGAAGTATTCACAAATATATTTTTATGTATATAATATTCTAAAGTAATCATTTAACTCATTATCAACACATTTATTCATTTTTAATCATAATTTAATAGTTAAATCTATAAGTTTATTTTATATAAACAATTATCTAGAAATATTATTATTATTATTATTACTATATGTTTTTATATAACAAAAATATCATCACTTTAAGATTTTTTTTGTCTACAACTAAACTATGAAAAGGTCGGTCTAACCTCCAAATTTCAGTAGAATCCGGTGGTTGGTTGAAAGAAACAATCGAATAGATGCTTAGTAATTGGTGAATTGCAGTTTAAAACAAAGTTATTAATGAATGAATTAATTAATTGTTAGCAGTGGGCAATTACAGATCAGTAGGTAGAGGAGAACAAACCTTTTTTTTTTACAATTACAAGCGAGAAGGTGAGATCACGCGCGAAATAAAGGCGCGTGTGATTATCGAAAATAACTTTTTGAACACCACAATTATTTATAAATCTAGATAAAACACCAATATTTAAATAAACATCCAAAAATATTTGATATTTAAAAATATCATTTGAAAATAATTTTTAACTTATAACTAATTTGTAAAACTTCTAAAAATAATATGATAAATCACAATAGCAATCCATCAATCGATGTGCCAATACTTCGATTCATATAATTTTAAATGATAAATTAATAAAATTATAGATAATGATTAAAATTTATTATTTTTAAATATATTTATATATACAGTTATAAATTTTTATTGATGTAAAAAATATAAAAACTATCATTATATTTATCATTTTACCATTTTAATCCTAATTTAAAATATAGAATTAGATATAGTATTTGTGAATGTCGGTTTTTCTGATATTTAGTTTCGCTATTCGATCACTAATGAAACTAAAGATGGATTCGTGTCCATCTCTATTTATATTAAATTAATTATTATATTGTAAAATGAATTGAAATATATAAGTTTTTAATGAATGTTTTTAGTATTATAGGTTTTTCTGAATTTTTAAAAACGAATTTTGTTTTGTTTGGATATAAGGATGGTTATGAAGGATTTTTTTACCAATAAAAAACAACCCAAACGTCAATACTCAGGGAGACTTGCGTTCGTGTTCACCTCTTGTTTACGGATTTTGTCGAGAATTTACTGCAAATGGGGTTTGAAGGTACGGTTTCGTGGTTATCTTTATAATGAAGGAATGTGACATTGACTTTGAACTTTGAGTGATAAAGTGGCCAATCCTTCTCTCTCTCGCTTTCTCTTTCTCTTTCATGAGGTAGCATGAATTTTTTAAGCTGAAACTAAAACAATAAAAATTATAAATCCAAAAGGTGGTTAAGAAAGAAAAAAGATTAAAAATTTCAATCATACCACCAAGACCCAGATTCAAAATTGCAGATTTTTCTACAAAATAAAACACATAAAAATTACTAAACTTATAAAATGGTAAAAAAATAATTTCTAAAATTTTCGCTCAATATATTTATTTTTAAACTTACAAAATATGTTATTATAATTTCTAAACTTAGAAAATATATTATTATAATTTTTAAACTTGTAAAATATGTTATTATAATCTTTAAACTGAATTTTGAATTTATACGTTTGATTTTTTATACCAATTAATAAATCTGAGAATTATAATAACATATTTTATAAATTTTTTTAATAAATTTATTAAACAAAAAATTTAGAACTTAGTTTTTTTACTGTTTTACGAATTTAGATTTACCCTTTCTACTAATACAAAGTAATTAAACAAAAAAACAAATGTTCAGAATATTAATTTTGAGCAAAGATTTGTAGTAAAAGGCATGAAAGGAAGTGGAGGAGAATAACAGTCTTCTCTCTGCCTGCTCTTTTCTACGTCCGTAAGAACAGCTTTCTCGGTTTCACTGAGAAACCCTAGAAACAGAAGCTACAAGACTGTTGTTGAGGAGGTACGTGATTCACGATTGTTTTGTGATTATGCCCAGGATTTTCATGCTGCTTAATTTTATATTCGTTTTCACTTCCTGGGTTTCTCGGATTTCGGACAAAGATCTCTGTTTTCTTTTTTTTTTTTTGTCGTCGAGTTCTCGTTGGCATCTACGTTTAGTTTCATAAATTTGACAAATACATTAGCATCTGCATCATAAATTTCAGAGATTTAGCGATACTTATGCGAATCAATCTGAAAACGTAGCAATTTCTTGGACGATTTAACCAGTTCATCTAATTTTATAAACTGTTCATGTGGGAGGAGAAGATAAAAGTGGCTAATGTCACCAAATTCAAAATCTTTACAGTGAAAGCTCAACAACTGAACACCTTTCTGTCTCCGGCAGCTCTCACACAGATATCGACGAGATTTCTCCATCTCGGATCACTTGAAGAGTTTTCCATGCACGGAACCCTTGTTTCATTTGGATCATGTTTGCTAGAGCTTTTGGCAGTTGAAGCTGGTCCTCTTCTGCTACACAAAACCAATCATGGTAACTTGGACAGTCTGCCGAAATCCTCAACATCCCATCTGTATATATAAATCTCGGTGGGTGGTGCCTTGTTGAAGATGATCAATCAAAACGATTGTTGCTTTCTTAATGCATAGATCATAAATTTTCTTCCATAAAGATTCGTTCTTGAGTTGGTGAACTTGAAGACGTGAAGGGCAAAACCTCTGGCTTGGAATAAGGAAGGCTCAAACGTGTGTTCTGGTCTGTGTTACAGGTAGAAAACTGATGATAGAAAGATGGGGAAGGGAGGAAGCTGGTTTTCTGCAATCAAAAGGGTCTTTTCGCCACATTCCGGGGAGAAGCTAGGCAGCGTAAGTGAGGTATTTTGAAGATCACTCTGCAACTTTCCAAGAACTTTTACTCGATATTCTCACATACTTGGCGGCTCCTCTGGTGAATGTTGCAGCAGGAACAGGAGAGAAACTGCACGAAAGACAAGAAGAAGAAGAAGAAGAAAGGGTTTGGGACAAGGCATGGAGAGAACAATTCTTTTCTACCCATGTTCAGGGAGCCTAGCAGTATCGAGAAGATCTTGGGCGAGGCGGAAAGAGAGCACAACCTTGTTTTCAGACCTCCAATATCTTCCCCCGACCGATCAAATTCATCGTCAGGCCCTGGTCTTCCTCCTGTTAGGCCTGCTTCTCCTAGGGTTCCTTCTCGAAGATCAGTTCCTCCTAAAGTCCCTTCTCCAAAGACTCCTTCGCCAAGGGCCACTTCGCCTAGGGTTGTGCAGAGACATGAGTTTGTCTATAGACCAGAGCCGACTCCCGATTTCCAAAACTCTTCTGCCATAAAGATCCAATCAGCTTTCAGAGGTTTCATGGTACGTAGTATCGGTTCTTTGTTCTGTTTCATCATCTGTCAAATACACTGGCATTGAAAGTCTAAGATAAAGGAAATCGTTGCTCGGTAAAACAGGCGAGGAGGAGTTTTAAGGCTCTGAAAGGTCTGGTAAGGCTTCAGGGAGTGGTGAGAGGACACAACGTTAAACGCCAGACAACGAATGCAATGAAACACATGCAGCTACTGGTCCGTGTCCAAAGCCAGATCCAATCACGTCGAATTCAGATGTCGGAGAACCAAAAAAGTGGCCATGCAAAACGGACCCGTAGCTCGGTAAGCGCTTATCTGTCTTACTGCCTTGCCATTTTCGGCGAAAACAAGAGCCATTCATTGATCATTTGCAAGTGTTCTTGCAGTCTGAAACTTGTAATGAGGATTGGGATGATAGTGTACTGACAAAAGAAGAAAAGGAAGCGAGGTTGCAGAGGAAAATTGATGCCATAATCAAGAGAGAACGATCCATGGCCTATGCATATTCTCACCAGGTACTCTCACCTTCCTCATATCGGTCTCCATATCAATGTGTGTGTATATATATATATCCATCTTCACTGACATATCCCTACTCGTGTTCTCTGGCAGTTGTGGAAGAACAGTCCCAACTCTGTCCAGTTTAGTCTGACTGGTTTTCGTTCTGGTGGGTTCCCTCTATGGTGGAACTGGTTGGAGCAGCAACTTCCTCTGGCTACTCCTTCCCAAAGACCGAGCCAACCCTTGAAGGACTCCAGGTTCACACCATCACGGCCCAGCCCTAGCAGACAAAACCATTTCAACTTCGACACTCCAACTCCCAAATCATCAAAATTCACCATCCTCACTCCTCCAAGACCTGTCCAAACACCGAAACCATCAAGAAGACACTCAAGAGGACGAAGAATCCTAGGTTCTCCTTTCAAAGACGATGACAGCCTCACGAGCTGCCCTCCCTTCTCAGTCCCAAACTACATGAACCCAACGGTCTCGGCCAAATCTAAAGTGAGACCGGACAGCAATCCAAACGGAACACCGAGCAGCACCGAGAATAGGAGGCTGTCTTTCAAATGGAACAAAGGGTCTTTGTTCATTATCAACAACAACAAGGACAAGGGTTCAGGTTCATCTAATGGATTTGTGTTGGAGAAGCATAAGACTATCCAATCCATAGGTAATCTAAGCGTAGATTCCGCTGTATCCATGCCGGCTACAGTTGGGAGGAAGCCATTTAACAGATTTGCGTGATTTTTTTTTTGTTTCCGTTCAGGTTTTTTTTTGAGTTACTTTATCTTTGCTTTGATTTTTTCATTATTACTTCGTTTGTGGGGGGTGGCGTTGATTTTCGGGAGCTTTCTTGTAATTTGGATCACGAAACTACGGATGTAATCTAATAACAGAAAGAACAGTGGCAAACGGATTGGCTTGAAGAACAAATCGAAAATACTTCTTGATTTCTCCTGAAAGCTTTTGTCTTTTTCGGAACCCATGTTTCTTGATTGCAAATTGAAGCAGTTTCGTCACATAAAACGTCATTTAAGATATTGATCCGATAAGAACGGAAAGTAACTCAGAACTAGAAGTTTCAGGAGGGGAAGGTACACTTAAAAGAGGGATGTTCCTTTGCCCTTCTTGTCTCCTCCGATCTCAAAGTGCTTGCACCTCTGAGAAATCGGCCAAAATACGATTCACACGTTAGAAGATGTAACACGAAAACCGATAGTAAATGAAAAAACCCATCTTGGAAAAGATGGTGTACCTTAATTGGGTGCTGAGACACATGCTTGCAGCTCTGGCATTGAAGCCTCAACACAATCTTCTTGGTTGTTTTGGCCTGTTTCAAGGAATTCACGATTCAATGCAATGCTACTAGAGGGCTAACAAAAATTTCTTCAAAAGCCGAGAAAAATTACTAAGAAATGTGCAATCAGCAGAAGTTGCACACAGAAGAATGGAACAAGGACCTAGAAAGACATCCTATTCATCGATATGTCTGATCTTATAACCAAGTAAACGGAAAAGACAACACAATAACGCACTAGATTGAATACACTATAAAGAGATTCAGATCACTATAACTTACAGTGCTGTGAACACCCACTAACAGACAGAACTATTCAAATGTCATACTAATCTGCAGGGTCAACCTTAGGAGGAGCATGGAGTACTTCTGATCCAAAAAATTTTATAGAGAAAGTTCAATGTCTGATTAAATGAACTGTAGATTTACCTTCTTGTGGAAGACGGGTTTGGTCTGACCACCATAACCAGATTGCTTACGGTCATAACGACGCTTTCCCTGAGCAGCAAGACTGTCTTTTCCCTTTTTGTACTGTGTCACCTTGTGCAAGGTGTGCTTCTTGCACTCCTTGTTCTTGCAGTATGTCTTCTTCGTCTTCGGAACGTTCACCTACAGCAACCAGAAACAAAGAACAATATGAATCTACAATTTTCACTACAGGGGACAAAAAAATTAGGGTTACGAAAACCGCAACACAATCGAATTAGCTCAATCAGGCTTTCTCGGAATCCAAACAGAAACTTCCATCGGAAGTGAAGAAAATGAAAAACCACAGTGATTCTAAATCCTTGCAAGTAGCATAAAAATCAACCGGAGAAATTCACAGATTGCAGATTGCTCTTCCCAGATTCTACCGGTTTTCTTTCTTCACGTATGTACTTTCTCGGAAACCAGACGTATCCGAGAATGCACTGAGAAGAACAACGATACTAAAGGAAAAAAAAAGGTGGCAAAGGTGAAGAAGCTACCATCTTCCTCTCTTCTTTCGAGGAACTTCGGCAGCAGCGCGGAGCTTCCGTCTCTCTCTCCAACTGGTTAAACGAGCCCAGAAGAACTAGGGTTTCGAAGCATGGTCATTTCTACTTTTGTCTTCTGATTCCTATTTTACCCTCAAAACTTCCCTTAAATTACGAAATTGCCAATGAGCCGAAGCTTTTAGTTAAGCCCTTAGGTATTCTACATAGTACATGCAGCCCATAATGAAAATTTTCAAATTTGATTATAATATTTTTTTTCCAGTTGAATTCATGACGCAAACCTCTGTTTCGCGGTTTGAATTTTGCTCGAGGACATTGAAGAGGAAACGAAGGAGGGAGAAGATCTCACCGGCGGCGACAGCGACGGAGGCCAGAGGAAGGCTCAAGAGGAAAAGTCAGGGTTAGGATCCTTTTAAAATATTGCACTTGTGTCCTTGGTATAGTTTCCTAATTCCTTTTCTGGCCCCAAACTTCAGTAGAAGTCACTTTCGTCCTCGCATTGTGGCTTGTATGGATTGGAGTCAAATTAAGGAAGAAGAATGATGTCTCGAGTTTGATTTAGAGTAAATGCAGGACTGGGTAGTTACGTGAAACATCAGCAAACCGGTCTGTCTCCATTTGGAAATGAGTGGTTCTTTGCATTGAAGGACCTACTTCATTGATGATGTTTGCTGCCATGGGTTGACTTGGCTTCATCTCTTCTGCCCAATAGATAAATGATATGATCCATTTATTCCACATCTCTTGATTTTGTTCACAGACAAAACAAAGATCATGTCTCCTCCTAGGATTGTTTCCTTACAACAAGTTCTTCTTGTGCTGCTCTTCGTTTTGTCTCTGTGTACAGAAAGCTCTGATGCCAAATTCAGTTTTGTGGGCTCTGCATATGAAGATGCAAGTGGGTTTACTAGATTGACGAACACCAAGAAGCACGTGTATGGTCAAGCCTTCGAGCAACAACCTTTGGCTTTCAAGAACTCATCCTCTAATGCTACTGCAACTTCTTTCACTGTTAATTTCTTCTTTGCAATCGCTCCTGAGAAGAAAAAATGCGGATCCCATGGAATGGCTTTTGTGATCTCTCCGACCAAAGGCATACCCGGGGCTTTTCCTGATCAGTATCTCGGTGTTTTCAATGATACAAACAACGGGAAGAGCTCAAACCATGTTATCGCTGTGGAGCTTGATATTCACAAAGACGACGAATTTGGTGACATTGATGACAACCACGTTGGTATCAATATAAATGGTTTAAGATCTGTGAAATCTGCTCCTGCTGGTTACTACGACAAAGATGGTAACTTCAGGAACCTTTCTCTGATCAGCGAAACTTTGATGCGACTTTCGGTCATATATAGTCAGCCAAAGAAAGAGCTTCGTGTTACCCTAAGCCCCGTAGAGATGGTTACTCAACCCGAGAAACCGCTTTTATCTCTGAACCAAGATCTTTCTCCCTATTTGTTGGATGAAATGTATGTTGGCTTCTCTGCTTCAACTGGGTCAGTTGGAACGATCCACTATATCTGGGGTTGGCACATCGACCTAGGCATCGAATATCGTCCTAGATTAGAGCTTAACCTATTACCTGTCGTTCCTCCATATCCGAGGAAAGCGTCTGAATCAACACGCAAAATTATGGTGGTGTGTTTATCATTCTCTATGTTTGTTGCTCTTGTTGCCTCTGCTCTAGGCATCTTCCTCTATTTGAGGCACAAGAAGGTTAAGGAAGTTCTAGAGGAATGGGAGATTCAATATGGACCTCACAGGTTCTCTTTTAAGGAACTCTTCAAGGCCACAAAGGGTTTCAAGGACAAACAACTTCTCGGCAAGGGAGGCTTTGGTCAGGTCTACAAGGGCACCCTACCTGGCACTGATGCGGAAATCGCTGTTAAACGGATATCTCATAATTCAAAACAAGGCATGAGGGAGTTCTTAGCAGAGATATCAACCATTGGCCGCCTCAGACACCCGAGCTTAGTCAGGCTTCTTGGTTATTGTAGGCATCAGTCCTTACTCTACTTAATTTATGACTTTATGCCCAATGGTAGCCTTGACAAGTTCCTCTACCCCAACCCGGGTCAGGAGCATATCACTTGGGATCAACGATTCAAGATCTTAAAAGATGTGGCGTCGGCACTCTTTTATCTGCACCACCAATGGGTACAAGTCATCATTCACCGAGACATCAAACCAGAAAATGTCCTGATCGACCTCGAGTGGAATGCAAGGCTTGGAGATTTTGGACTGGCCAAGTTATACGAACAGGGGTATGATCCTCAAACAACGTATGTAGCCGGCACATTCGGATACATGGCACCCGAGCTTGTAATAACTGGAAAAGCAACCACAGGAACAGATGTGTATGCCTTTGGGCTGTTTATGCTGGAAGTTGCTTGTGGAAGAAGGCCGATAATGCCTCGAGCACCCCCCAGAGAGATTTTTCTTGTGGATTTGATATTAGATTGTTGGGAAAAGACAGACATTCTCGAGGCAGTTGATGAAAGACTCCGTCAAGAACTTAACAGGGAACAACTTGAGCTGGTTCTGAAGCTTGGGATCCTCTGTGCACACGGAGTTCCCGCAGCCAGGCCTGCCATGTCTTCCGTTATCCGGATCTTGGACGGAGTTACACAGCTGCCAAACAACCTGCTTGATATCCTCAAGGTTGGGAGATATGAAGGTTGGTCTGATACATCTGAGGAAGTTCTTGATGTTGTGAGTATGCAAAGTTCCCTGACGTTAACCGAACCTTTCACATCCCGTGGGCGATGAATTCTGATCGAATTCTGCAAAGTAAATCAGAATTTGTTGGTTATGTGGTTATCTCTGGTATAGTGTGATCGGTATTTGTATAGATTCTAGGACTATTAGCCTGTAATAGCAATGAAATAGTGTGTATATATATATATATAATAAAAAAAGTGCATGCATAGATTCTAGGACTACGTCGCATATATGACTACGACATAGTCATGGTTTTTATGTAAAAATATTCATATCAAAATTGTAATATATATCAGGGACAATTCCATTAAAAACCTGTAATTTTTTTTATCCAATTAAACTTTATACTTCTTATATATAACAATAAAATATCTGTATTTTTAATAATTGATAAATAAAATCCTAAACAAAAAAATTGACTATTTAATGCTAACATGACATCCTAATCACCTGCTACATTATCAACTCTTTAATATTTAATAATATTAATTAATAAAAATAATAATAATATAATAATATTAATAAAAATAATATATTTCTACATATATATACATACATATGTATAAATATGTATGTGTTATATGTACATTTATATATACACACATATACTATATACATGTTATATGTATATATACATATGTATGTATATATGTATATGTAGATATATATTATTTTTATTAATATTATTATATTATTATTATTTTTATTAATTAATATTATTAAATATTAAAGAATTGATGACGTGACAGATGATTAGGATGTCATGTCATCATTGAATAGTCAATTTTTTCGTTCAGAATTTTATTTATCAATTATTAAAAATATAGGTATTTTATTGTTATATATATAAAATATAAGGTTTAATTGGATAAAAATATTATAGGATTAAAATTGCGACGAGGTAAAAATACAGGGGTTTTAATGGAATTGTCCCTATATATTACTATCTAATATTATATTAAAACACTTTATTAGGTTTCCTAGATATTCAAAACATGGTAAACAATCTGTATTTATTATTTATTTGGTCGGAATATAGCATATAATTCATTCGATATTTTTAAATATAATAAATTGTAACTTTGGCCACAACACAATATAATAATTCATTCGATATTTTTAAATATAATAAATTGTAACTTTGGTTCAAATATTAGATGCATATGGTACTTTAATTTGCATACGTTACCTAAACATTTTATAATTATATGCGTTATTTATTTTTTTCGTGACACTATATATAATTTCGTCAATGTTTTGTGTTAAATATGATAAATAATAACATATATTATACTTTAATATAAAATGTTTAACACCAATTCATCTTTGCACACCTTGCCAACAAAAAAGCTCCAAGGTAATGTGAATAGTACATGATGGAAACTTGCCTGCATCTCATAACTCTTTGAGTCGGACGACTACCCTGGACAATAAATTCTCCGGTTCCGCGCAATAGCTAATAAACTATACGGAACAGGTAAACTAACCGAAACTGACCAGTTCAAGAGAAAAGTCAGATTCCAAAAAGAATCGAACCTCCGACCTCGTATAAGGAGGGTATTCACCTTCCAACTGAGATGGAGACTTCTCCCAAAATAATACATATAATTCCTCTTGTGAGACGATTATATGAAATATTGTTTTAATCAACTTGTCATATATATATATATATATATATTGACCTTTATGTGGTCAAAGATTATACAATTTTCGTTAGGTGTTTTTAGTCAGAGTATGATAATCTATAACTTGTAGTGTTGTAATACTGTTTCCTAACCTCAACCTATCTTTGTATACATATCGATAAACAACTTTATCCTATATTTAACAGTTGAGCCACCTTATCATTTTTTAAACATGATAAAGAAGAAAAAAAACGTTAAGCCATGAATCTCGAGAATACATTAATGATGTAAAAGTATTTAATATGTCACATGAAAAATACGGTTTTGGGTATGAAACGTATCAAATGAAGACATAGGGGGGTGTCCACTTATTTTGTAATTTTAATCATTGAGTGTCAAGACTTTTATTTTATATTCCTGGAGTTTGGTCTAAGAAAGTAGGCTGTTCCATTCCAGATTGAATCGATTGTTTGACTTTTTTTTTGTTAAAGTTGACTTTTTTAAAATCAAAGATACAATATGAATTTAGTATATCAATCCAGGACATCTCTTTTCAAACGACAGAAATGATCATGTCTGGTAATCTTCTTCTTCTTCTTCTTCTTGTTCTGTCTTCCTTCACAGGAAAATCCGAGAGTTTGTTCATCACAGAAGGATCTGCAAGTTTAGAAGCCATCGGTTTCTTCAGATTGACGAACACGACAAAGCACGCCTATGGTCAGGCTTTCAATAGCGAGCCTTACCTAATCAAGAACTCATCAGACGGTACCGTACCTTCTTTCTCCGTTACCTTCTTCTTCGCAATAGTTCCTGAACGAGAACACAATGGCTCCCATGGCATGGCTCTTGTAATCTCGCCCACCAGAGGCATTCCAGGGGCTTTCCCGGATCAGTACCTCGGCGTTTTCAACGATACCAGCAACGGGTTGAGCTCGAACCATGTCGTTTCTGTAGAGCTCGACACGCACAAGGACGATGAATTCGACGATATTGACGACAACCATGTCGGTATCAACATAAACGGGTTGAGGTCTGTGAAATCTGCTCCTGCTGGTTATTACGATAAAGACGGTAACTTTATAAACCTTTCGTTGATCAGCAGAAGGGTGATGCGGATTTCGATTGTGTATAGCCAACCGGAAACACAGCTTAATGTTACCTTAAGCCCCGCAGAGATGGTAACTCAACCAGAGCAACCGCTTCTGTCTCTGAACCAGGATCTTTCTCCGTATCTGTTGGAGGAAATGTATGTCGGATTCTCTGCCTCAACTGGGTCGGTTGGATCGATTCATTACATGTTGGGCTATTATATCTTTCCGGACGTTGCGTATCCGTCACTGGATCTTGGTGTGATACCTGTCCTTCCACCATATCCGAGGAAAGCCTCTCAAAGAACACGGAACATTCTGGTTGTCTCCTTGACATTCTCTGCCTTTGTCGCTCTTGTCAGCTCGGCCGTGGGATTCTTCTTCTATCTGAGACACAAGAAGGTTAAAGAGGTTCTCGAGGAATGGGAGATCAAATACGGACCTCATAGATTTGCGTACGAGGAACTGTACAAAGCCACAAAGGGTTTCAAGGACAAGCAACTTCTTGGAAGAGGAGGGTTTGGTCAGGTCTATAAGGGAATCTTATCCGGTTCCGATGCAGAAATCGCCGTGAAGAGGGTCTCTCATGATTCGAGGCAAGGAATGGACGAGTTCTTGGCCGAGATATCGACCATTGGCCGCCTTAGACACCCGAACTTGGTCAGACTTCTCGGTTATTGCAGGCGTAAGGCTGAACTCTTCCTGGTTTATGACTTCATGCCCAATGGAAGCCTTGACAAGTTCCTCTACAGTGAATCGCTCACATGGGTTCAACGGTTCAAGATCATAAGAGACGTGACCTCTGCACTGTTCTATCTTCACCATGAATGGGTACAGATTGTGATTCATCGAGATATCAAGCCAGCAAATGTCCTGATCGACCACCAGATGAATGCGAGGTTAGGAGATTTCGGATTGGCCAAGCTATATGACCAAGGATACGATCCTCAGACATCTAGAGTAGCCGGAACCATCGGATACATCGCGCCAGAGCTCGTTAGGACTGGAAAAGCGACGACGAGGACAGATGTTTATGCGTTTGGACTGTTCATGCTGGAGGTTACTTGCGGGAGGAGGCTGATACAGCCACGAGCAGAAGACAGAGAGGTTGTTCTTGTGGATTGGATAATGGATCGGTGGGAGAACGGAGATATTCTCGAGACAGTTGATGAAAGAATCCGGCAAGAACACGACAGGGAACAGCTTGAGGTGGTTCTGAAGCTCGGGGTGATCTGTTCTCACCCAGTTGCGGAGGTCAGACCGTCCATGGCAGACATCATTCGGATCTTGGATGGTGTTTCGAATCTTCCAGAGAATATTCTCGATATCGTGAAAGCTGCAGAATTCAGAGGAGCCGCTGGTGTGGCTAATCTGAGGAATTCCATACCTAACTTGACGTACACGGAATCTTTCACATCACAGGGACGGTGAAGATTTTCCACATTTTTATGTAAATTCGTTTTTTCAATCGTATTTTATCTTTTTGTATGATTTTCACACCCGTTTGATTCTAGAAATTTCCAAGTATAACGGCGCCGAATATTCTACAAAAAAAAAAACCCTCGAATGTCATATATGTTAGAAAGGTAGATGAATATATGCCAAAGTATAATTATTTTATGATTATGATTACAATTTTCAAAGTGCCCACAATCGTAATTTTGAAGAACCGTGAGGGCAGTTTTGGAACATATGGCGATGCTCGAAGAGAACAGGCATGGAGAAATCGGCGTAGAAACAGTTTGTTTTGTTCTATGCTGTAGTATTTGATGTATGTTTTATTTATTCAGTTATTTGATTTTAACACTTCGAATATTAGTGATATTAGAATATATCATTTCATGTATTTTATTCAGATTTTTCTTGAAATCTAATATCCAAATACAAACCCTAAAATCAGACCTGATTGATTTTAAATAAATTGGTAAACCTAGTATACTGTTATATTCTATTATATTTATGTTCACGTAAAAAACAAAATTATTGTTCTCCCTAATTAAAAATCATAAATAAAAAAAGGGAGGAAGACGGAGAAGAGAGATGTAGCGATTTGTTCGAGGCCATGGTCAATACGAGAGAGATGAATTGACAGGCACGGAGAATCGCACGTTCTGTTGTTTTCGCCAACCTTCAATGCAAATCGCGCCATTTTTACTCGACGCCTTTGCTCTGCAAATTGGCATGCGATGGAAGAAGTGCCGGAAGCAGATTCCGACAATTCTTCAGCAAAAAATTTAAAAAAAAAAATCTGAAAACGCAGAACCCTAGAGGGTAGAAACCCTAAAAGACGACGGCATTTGACAAATTCGGATGATGAAAGTCGAAGGCTTCACATGTTTATATAGAAGAACCGAGAGTGCCAGAGGAGGAATCGGAAACCCTAACCCTAATTTATTGCTTAACTGGAATGTGGGCTAATGGCCCATGACAGATTAAAATGGGCCGGGTCTGGGTTGGGACGAAGAAGCCTTTTCAATGGTAAGTTGGTTTGAGATGTCAATGGGTCGGTTTACGCGAACCGGATTCCATTGAATCGGTTAACTCATTTGATTATTTGTTTTTTAAAAATGGATTAACCTTTAAACTCATTACATATTTACCTAAAATTATTATATATAAATATATAAATATTAATATATATATATATATATATGTATACGGATCAAAAAATCCGGTACTGAATCAAAAAATCCGGTACCGTATTTCGAATCGGATCGTACACAAAAAAAATTGGTACCGTTTTTAAATTGAATAAAAAAACTTGATACCATCTTCAAATCGAAAAACTCGATATCGTTTTTAAACCGAATTGTTCAAAAAACATGAAATAATAAAGAATTGTATCGAACCAAATTGAATTTTAAAAATCACGAAAAAAACCCAATAATTTTTTTTAAGAAAATATATATTTTTTTTAATGAACACCGAAACCAAACCAAATTAAATATAATATAATAACTGATTAATATATATTTTTATATAACCGAATGATCCAAACCGAATACCGAAACGTCAACCCGTTAGCGCGAATAACTCCATTGATTAGAATTCACAAAGAGAATATAAGTCTTATATGGGAAAAAAATGGTTACAAAACCAATGGTCATCTTAATCACATGGGAATTTCATAAAACTCGAACGAGGTAAAAGAAAAAACAACAAAAGGTTTTTTTTATTCAAATGCCTTGTTGCCAAACACCAATTACGTGCACACAAAGCAAAAGGCGTTCTAAGCAGCAGAAGGTTCCTTCATTGTCAAGAAACTGCAGAGGAAGAAGATTCAGGGATTTCGGGGTTAGGGTTCAGGCTGCATCTTCTCACATTCTTCTCTGATCGATTGGAAAAGCGGAGTGGAGAGGTAACGTTCCCCAAAGCTTGGAAACACCACCTGAAAACCGACACCCGGTTTAGGTTATCATTGTTGACAGTGTTTCTCTGTTTTAAAAAACAGTAGGAACCTTTCCTTTAACATCTTTGCTGTAATAACCAAGAACAGAATAAGCTGTTAATAGTTCTCGGCTTTGTTTTTATTTTTGGATCAAAAAGGGTTTTCTTTACGGGGAGTGTAATAATCAGACAACCACTAATTGTCCTGTCCTACCCTACGAGTTTCAAGCTCGGTTTCGAGGGGTTTAGGGTTTTAGGAATGAGCTTATGAAGGGCTGAGTTTCAAGCTATTATGAAGAAACAGAAGTTACTCACGACTACGAGTTTCCCGGCATTCTCAGCTCTCTTTGCCACCTTGATTGCTGCAGCTGCTGCCGCTCCCGAAGATATACCAACCTGACAAAATCGTGACGCAGTGTATTGTTTATACAGTCGTCCATATATATATATATATATACACACTAAGTTAGAATGGAGAAAGACTAACCAAAATGCCTTCTTTGAGAGCTACTTGCTTTGCGGTTTCAATAGCTTCCTCACTGGATATCTGGTAAGAAAAAAAACAACAAGTATGAACAAATAGAATGTTGATAATGGAAAACAAGTCGAGTTTGAATCTCAGGAATTGGATATCTTTTCACATATATACCTATATATATATAGATAGATAGATATACAAGAGGACTGTATAACCATAAACAGAAGCCAGAAAACAGGTCATACCGTTATGACTTCATCCATAATATCCTGATCCAAATTCTTAGGTGCAAATCCTGCTCCGATCCCTTGAATCTTGTGAGGTCCTGCCATTTAAAACGGGGTCATGGAATAAAATACAAGTTTATAGAATGCTATATCATCATCAATATAAGATGAGGAGGCACAGTTACTGAAACTTTTCAACTTTCCGCGTCCTTACCAGGTTTCCCACCCGAAAGTACGTCGCTTTCTGTAGGTTCTATACCAATAACCTGTCAAATTCCGACATCACAGAATGAAACATGAATATGAACACAACGCCCTCTCTAAATGAAGCATTTAGATATGAACATTATTAGCAGATGCATATAAACTACAGCTGAGATGTGAATCTTTTGATCTTTATTTACCTTCACTCCGGGTTTTCTCTCTTTAATGTATCGACCAACACCACTGATCGTTCCACCAGTTCCAATCCCCGCAACAAATATATCTACCTTGCCTTTAGTATCTTCCCAGATCTCAGGACCAGTAGTTTCGTAATGAATCTGCATATTGTTTATATTTCAACACAAACAGATGACAGCAGATCAAAAGAAATGGCACCACCAGTGGAACTCATGCAGGAGAATTTTCAGAAAGTTCTCAACTTGTATCTTTCATTCATCCCCTCTCCCGTGCGGGAATAGAACTAAAACTTTCTAAAAACTTGCGTGTAAAAAGGTGGGGTTTGGAAAAAGAACCGAACACAAACCTTGGGATTAGCAGGATTGTCAAACTGTTGGAGCATGTAGGAATTGGGAGTGTCTTTCAAGATCTGTTCAGCCTTCTGGATTGCTCCAGTCATGCCTTTTGCAGGGTCTGTTAATACAAGCTCAGCTCCAAATGCCTTTAGAAGAACCCTTCTCTCCAAACTCATGGATGACGGCATCGTCAAGATAAGTTTATAGCCTCTTGCAGCAGCGATAAAGGCAAGGGCTATGCCTGTATTTCCACTTGTGGGTTCCACAAGAACACTCTGAGACATACAGCGAGAAAATGAAGTCAAGAGGGGTGACATATACATGCAGAATAAACCATGGACAACCGACTTTACATGAAAGCCTGGTTATAGAATATGATAACAAATTCATAGCAACACTTTCTGTCAAGAACCATGATCAAGAAGAGCCCGTTTGAAAATGACTACCATATCTGTAAGCTGCCCAATTCCTGCTTAAGCCATAACACAAGCATGATGACTATTCTACGATTCATATACCTTTCCAGGCGTTATAAGTCCTTTTTGCTCAGCATCATTGATCATACTGTATCCAATCCTGAAATTATTCATGCAATGAAAAGTTCAGAACTGTAATAGGTACTGCTAGAGTCATGTGAACAAGTCACAAGCAACACCGGCTTACACACCTATCCTTGACGCTGCAACACGGTTCCATGATTTCGAGCTTGACTGCAACATTTGCAACACAGCCCTTCACTATGTTATTCAGGTACATCATCGGTGTTCTCCCAATAAGCTGAATCATCAAGTCGGAAAATTGAGAGAGAGAAGATCAGATTCTGAATCCATTCTAATTTTATTAAGAGCAGTCCACAGAGCAATTTCTTAGACTCAAAATGGAATACACGGCAAACAAGTAAAAATGTATACATGATATCATATAAGACACTGCAGCTCCCAGTTCAGGCAAAAGTCTCTAACTCCCAAGCTATAACAGCAATGAGTTCAGCAAATTCTCATGGATTATGATAGAACACACCCAGAAGAGAGAAAGCTGTTTGTGTTAAGCGACAAGCCCACGGATTCATGCCACAATTGTCCTAAATTCTCCATACCCAGAAGAAATCGATCAAAAACAATTGAGACACATTGCATTCCTCGTTACTGTAGAAAATCTTTGTATTTTCATTTTGATCAGAAAGCAAAACCCATCACTTGCAGATGTACCCAAAGAACATCAGTAATGCATTAACGAAGAAGTCAAATTCACAAGTCTGGTGCTTTCAACAAAACCCTCATCAGATTCTCCCCGAAATGCAACAGGTTTTGAAAAATCTGAGCCTCCTCCACTCGGGATTCAGCTTTCCTAACAAAACGATCGCGAACAGATCGACACGTATGAAGACCATCTAACCTGAGAGATATCCTCGGCAATATTGAGCCTTTCAACTCCAGCCTCGGGCTTGACAGATGCCGCCTTGCAAACAACGGAAGGATCACGGGAAGAAACATTCCCACAGCTCCGTCTTTGACTCTTCGGCACCAAATCGAGAGCAGCCGCGGCGGAGAAGGAGAGAGAGGAGAGCTCCGGCGAGTTTCGGAGGTTACGGAGGCGAGAAGTCAACGTCTTGAGGAGGAGAGAAGAGGAAGATGAAGCCGCCATCGCCATTTCTGCTTTTGGGACACTCTACACAGAATGACAGGTCGAGAAACCGAGCCAAATAGTAGAGGGAAACACCGTTTCGTAATCAATTTTACCAATTTTAGAAAAGGGTCAATCAATTTGAGGCTATTAGTGACAAAAAGCTCTGAACTTTCAAAAGGGAAATGTGGTGTCAGCCAAGAATCGGATATTTATGTTCAGACCAAAACTGGGAATTTCTTCCTATATCAGACACTATCCATATTGTGGAGTCTTTGTTGTCTTTAAAGAGCATTTGCCCTCAAACAGACCAAAAAATCTGGAGTGTAAGTATTCTTTGAATTTGGTGTTGGATTGGAATATCTCTCATCTCACCAACCAGACGGCTATACGGAGAACGTGTTTAATTCCATCCCTGCCTGCCCATCTGCATCTCCCAAGAGTCAACCGGAGCTTTTTTTTTTTTTAATTGTTTTTCCTGCCCCTCTTCAGTTTTATTTATCTAATTTGACACAATTTTCCGGAAATAAAAAACTTTTTTTTGTTGGAATGTAATTCTGCGTGGCAAATTCAGAAAGATACCGAAAGAGACCGATGCTGGAATCGCAGTGTCGCCTATCATCATCATCTCCAACTTCTCTCGTTTTTGTCCACTCGATTCAATTCGATTAGGTTTAAAAGAAAACCCTAGTCGCGCAGAAGATATTTCGCCGCCTTTTTGGGTGGTCGTTGTCTGAAGCAGATCTCGGAGCTTCCGAGTATATCAAAGCTTTGAACTTTCGTCGGTTTCAGTTCGTAGAGCTTTGAACTTTGGTCTGTTTCTGTTCGGAATCTTTCTGGGTTCCGCAAAGGCAGGGGAATAAGGTGCGTGAATTTAAATGAAAATTTCGTTCTTCATAAAATTTCGTTCTTCACTTGAATCTCTGTTTTTGAGGTGTGTGATTGATGAGAATGGTGATGAATTTGTCTGGATGTTCCAGAAGAAGTTTAAACTGTGTTCATTTGATTCTAAATCAACAAACGGTAATGTCGCTGTTGTGTTCTTCCAAATTGTTGGATTACACGTCTCTGCCTACAGATAGATTTTACAGTTCGCCATATCTGAAGTAGGGTTTCATCCTGAAGTACAGTTTTCTGTTTTGCAGAAAAACCAGAAGAAGAAGAAGACGATGGAGGAGAACAATCTTATAGAGATCTTGGAAGAAGGCCAGAAAGTTAGCATGGCCAAGTACATGGAATACGTGAGTGCCCCTCTTGCTGGTGCAATAGCAACGTTTTCAGGAACCACAAAGGACACATTCGACGGGAAAGCAGTGTTAGAGCTAAGGTACGAGGCCTACGTTCCAATGGCTACACGCTGTATCGGCTCCATCTGTCTGGCCGCTCGTTCAACCTGGATGCTCCACAAGATTGCCGTGGCTCACCGCCTTGGCCCTGTTCCCGTGGGAGAAACCAGCGTCTTCATCGCGGTTTCCGCCGTTCATCGTGCAGATGCCCTCGAGGCTTGCAAGTTCTTGATCGACGAGTTGAAAGCATCCGTTCCGATATGGAAAAAGGAGGTTTACACGAACGGAGAGGTTTGGAAGGAGAATACAGAGTTTCTGGATAGAAGATTGCAGCTTTCCGAGAAAGGAGGCGGTGGCTTGGGGAAGAAACCTGTGGTTGAAGGACATGGAAGAAGCTGCTGTGGTAATAAGGTTAGAGTAGAAGATGAAGAACTCAAAGCTACTGCTGAAGATAAGAAATCTTCTTCTTGATTGCTGTCTTTTCTTCTTCTTTTTTTGCTTGCAAGTTACTGTTTGGACAATGATACTCCTAATTATTTTGGTTGGTTCAATAAAAAGGCTGCAAAGGTTTCTCTCTGCTTCCAATACAATTGCAGTATAAGAGGTTTTGAAGAAAATACAGATATCTAAAATTTGTCAACCAAATGCATTGGACAAAGTTTTGTGAATGCATGAGATCAAGCAACTGTTATTTATACAAGTGAAGAATACAATATATATATATATATGTATATATATTTTTATGGACAGCAGTATCTAAAATTTCAGAACTCATCTCATGAAACCCTTCTCCGCAAGCTGGACAAGACCCTAACATAAATCTACAGTCTGGGCTTCAAGGACTATCGTGGTGCAGCATTTCTTAGAAACGAAATTATCTAAACCTACTGAATTAGCAGAATCATCAAGTTGGGGCTCCAATACCGCTCCCATTTGCAAGCTCTCTTCATACATTGGCGGCACAAGAACACTGACTTTGAGTCTCCTCCAGAACTCTTGGAATGAATTTTTATTGACCTCAGCTCGCACTTGACACGTTCCACCAGAACAACCCTCACCAATGCCGGTAACGTTCCACAAATCCATCACATTATCATCGGACTTCCCTAGGCCAAATCCAACATACCATGTTTGGGCCTGCAAGGGAGTCTAAACAATTTAAGTACAGCTGAGCTTTGCTTTCCTTCGGCCTTAGTCCTTGAGAGGAAGATCCACTAGGAACAGCTTCAGAGCCTAGATATTCAACAAGTGCTTGGTATAAGAAGTCAAGCAAGTCACTGGTCCCACTTGCAACATGTTCAACCATTGGCTGCGGTATGGGATCAGCGGAAATGCTCTCTCCAGTCAAAAGGTCAACCACGTTACCGGGAAATGGATTTTGCTGTTTGCTTGTTGTGGACACTGCTTCACTCTGTAAAGGTGTTGCGGCAAATGGATTGGAATCGGAACAAGATGATAATGGATTTTTATCTTCATCTTTTTTCCTTGCAAGCTGAGCTAATAATATCCCTTCGGTCCCTTCGTTAGTAAATACTTCTTTCCATGTGAGAGAAACTCCCAGGACTTCTATCTGCAGAATAAAAGCAATAGGCAGAGGTGTTGCATAAATTTGTTTCACAAAAAATATAGATACAACCACAGTAAAAAAAAAACGAGAGAAAAGAAAAACGAAAGGTATTAATTTGTGATGTTGGCTAATCACAAACCAACTTTACAACTATGCAAGAGCACGATGAGAATAATGGATGGATAATACTGAAAACTGGTAAGTACCCGGCCAAGAGTCATTAGGTTACTTAGTAGAATATGCAGGATAGAATGTAACAGCCCCTACATGGGTCAAGAAATCCAATTCACCTTCTAGTTCTTCAAAATTATACAACAGAGAAGCACTTGATGTGTCTTTTTCATGAAGACGTGCACCAGCTCTAGTAACAGCAATATCCTCAGCACTACTTGGCCCTGGTAAAGGTACCAGAACATTCGTACCATTTGCGCACCGAGAGATTGAGGCACCCTGTCCACAAAATATAAATAGCGGCGATCGGTAATCCACTTGAACAAACTTGCAACCAAGTCTTTGTAGAATCATGCACATGGAAGAGGGAGAAGAGTCTCAACCTCGACAACTAATTTAAGGCCATCTATGTGGCGTCCAGTCCTCACGTCCACAGTGTATGGATATGTTAAATCATCTGCACCATGAGATCCCGTTAGCAGTTGTTGATAACTTGATATACATGGCAAGGCTAACCAATATAGATAAACAATTCAACAACATCTGCTGCTTCTGAACATACATGTAAAATACATGTAAAAAAGTTAAAATGTTTGCTCAGCTTGCCCAGCAACAATTAACCAGGAAGTAATTATATCCAAATAGAGGTACCCAAGTGATGTCCTTCCTCTTGAAACTTAGCAGACTGAACCCATCACTGGAATTTGCAGATACGCTAGGCACAGGTTTCAGAATGAAACCACTTGGTCGAGAAAGTACCTGCCATGATCACCATGGCAATCAGAAATAATCTGAGATTTTAGCAAATAAAAAAAATAAAATCAAAGTAGAAGCCATTTTTATAGAAGAATTAAGATATCTACAACAAAAACAGCAAATAGAGAGCAACTGTCCGATACGCAAAAAAAATTGTTATCAGTTTAGTGCAGTTGTACATGAAGTGGTATTTTGATCCATTGACTCTCAGTCACTGTGTATACACAGCCTCCCCCAGGAAAATCTGGAATACTTGGATTTTGCTTTGTAGCAACAAGAAGCAAGCCAAAGCTTCCCAAGGCAGCATACCCAACTACGGCCCTGGCATAAATTGTACTTCTGCAGCTCCATTTTGAGCCGTCTGTGATATAATTTAGGGCTTCACGCTCAGACTTAAAATTGTCACGTTCACGACCAGGCTTTCCATTATACCACAGGGCCCCAGTAGTAGGATCAACATAGATAACCTGAGTCTCAGGCCTAGAAAACAAACTAGAAACGACACAGACCTCACCAGTGTCCAAGTTAACAACAACTATAGACGTCTTTTGTGGACCACCCACTGCAAGAAAATAAAGGAATAGCTAGAGAGATCAGCTCACAAAGTCTCAAAAAATACCTAGAACGAACAAATAAACAGCTCACAAAGTATCATTTTGAAGCTTTAAATGACAAGAAATTCATAAAAGACAAAATTAGGAAATAGAAAACCCCAAAAGAGAACTCACCCGGTGAATCCATCTCAACCCAGGATCAAGATGAGTAGAAGCCCTCAACGACCTCAAATTCTATCTTCCAACAATCTAACAAAAGCATTTTTAAGCAATGAAATCAGCAACTCTCTTCAATTACTATCCAGCATAGAAAACAGTAAGAAAATTCCAAACGTAGCACACAAAATGCAGCACGGTCGCTCTGTATTTAATCAACACAGAATAGAATTCACACTCATAATCTATCGTTGTGAATAGATATCTGGCATCATCTTGCCAAGCTCATCGTCTGTCTGGTGAGCTCTACTCACAAAAAATTGGGTCTAATATTTTCTTCGCAAAAATTTCAGGCTCTGTGAACTGAAAACCCGAAAAGGGTTACAATGCAACAGCTTTTTTTATTTATTTACCAAAATATACGATTCTGTCGCGAGATAGAAATCAATTTGACCGGTTATATCCTCCATCCTCGCAACGCGAACTCATACATCAGAAAATCAAACGGATAAAGAGCAGTTAAAGAACGGTTCATGAATTGAAGAGTACTAACCTAACAAGGGAAGATGAACCATGGAGTTGCAGAGACGACCCGATGCGAATTGCGAATGCGCCAAGTCATGGCGAAGACAGAGAAGTGGAGGTATCATCGTCTCCCTCGAATCAACGAAGCTTAGCCAATGAGCAGGTCCACGTGTGAAGCTGTGGAAATGAAACTTTACGAGGAAGGACAGACCCTTTGAATAACTGTAAAATAGTCCCCATGTATTTACAATATTTATATTTAGTCACTCTTAAAACTAAAAAGTGAGTCCACACACCCTATGTTTTCAATTGATACATTCCAAACCCAACCCGTATTTCTCATATGACGGTTTCTAGTTAACTCTAACCGATTAAATACTTTTACATCATTGTATTCTCGTAGTTAAAAACCGATTCATTTATAAATATTAAATAATAGAACATTAATTATTCACTAAAAAAATTCTATTCACAAAAATAATCATCTAGTATTTATATGTTATTAAATAAAATTGAAATAAAAACTAAAATTTGAAAATTGAAAAGGTCATAACAAGGACATATTTTGGAAAATGATATGTCGCGTATATTTTGGAGCAAGGGATTTGAGCTCTATATGACTATACTATGTGTGTGGCCAAAGTGGGCGTCGGACCATCGGTCTCCTATTATTTTGGAAAATATTTTATGCTCTTGCAAATTAAATCTATTTATGTTTTTTTTTTGTTTATTTTGTATTTACTATTGTTTTTGTAGTGTATGTAAGATATGTCGATATTAAGAAACTAATATTAAATAAATAATTTATTTTACAGTTTGGGGGTTATGGACGAAGGAGGAGGAGTATCAGCAACAATAGATTTATTTCACAATTTCTACGTAAATTAAAAAAGAACATTAAAAAGATTATATACAAAGTTCGAACCAATTGGGTTAACCGTTACTAGAGAAATAGATATAATCTTCTGACATTGATCAAATTATATATATATATATATATATATATTGTCCTGAAAATTAAGTAACGCATATACTTTTTAAATTTTAGGTAACGCGGGCGAAGTTAAATTAATATGGGGTATTATCCAAAATATATTCCTCTTGTTAAAACTACTTCTATATATATATATATCCTTATCCAAATGTTATCATGTGACTAAAATGATAATATAGTCACATATTAATCACATTGATCATAATATTAAATTTATAATGATTACACCAAATCATAATAATCACATTTTATATATCATACTAATCACTTAATAAAATCACTTTAAATTTAACGTTATGATTAATGTAATCACCATGTGATTATAGTATTATTTCGATCACATGGTCACATTTAAAAAATGCTATATACTGAAATGATTATAGCAATAGAAGGATATTTTGGATAGAAAGTTACAATTTATTATATTTTAAAAATATTGAATGAACTATATGCTATATTCCAACAAAATAAATAAGAAATACGGATTATTACCATTTTTGAATTTATAGGAAACGTAAAAAAACATTCTTTAATATAATATTAGATCATAATATATACTAGAATTTCTATGTGAATATTATTATCTATAATATTACGTGCACAATGTAACGAAAGAAAAGATGTTGATATTATGAATATGATTATTATATAAGAATTTGTTGTCAGATTTACCAAAAAGAAAATAATTTGTTATCAGGAAAGATTAGTCCAACTATAATTTGTATTTAACAAAAAAAAAATAGATTATAATTTGTATAATTTGGAGATAAATATGAAAAAAAAGGGACCAAACGGACAGGACCAGCTCCTCGTCTGCAGATCGTAATAATCATATCAGCTCCGTACACAGAGAAACACAGATTCGCTTCCTCAGATCTGTTTGACCCGACAAAAAAGTTTTCATTTTCCACCCAAAAAACAAGAAATTTCGTCGGGGGGAAGGACCATCGCCCCGAGGTTCCGATTTTTCCCTGAAATCGTCGGCCCACATCAGAGAAACTTGAGCTGCCATGGACGGTGGCGGAGCTCAACCAGGGGATACGGAGATGACGGAGGCCGGCGGCGGCGCTGTTCCCTCTGCGGCGGAGGCGGCACAGATTCCGGGGAACGAGAATATTCCGGCGATTCTCAGCCACGGCGGTCGGTTCATTCAGTACAACATATTCGGGAACATCTTCGAGGTCACCGCTAAATACAAGCCTCCGATCATGCCTATTGGCAAGGGTGCTTATGGCATCGTTTGGTAATTTTTTTTTAAAAACTTCTCCTTTAATTTAATCTTAGTATTCTCTAAAATGTTCTCATCTCTTGATCGGGTTGGATTGGCAAAGTGGGTTCCTTTGATGTGATTTTGGGAAAAAGGTTGATTCTTTAGTCACTCCGAGCTCTGTTTGGTTGGTAGAATTGTTGGTGGGGAAATGATAATACTTCCCCTGGCAAATGATGCTTCTTAGTTATATATATATGTATGTGTGTGTGTGTATAGCCCTAATTTTTAGATTCTTGATTGTATCTTCTCTTTTTTCTGTAGTTTTCTTGATCAGTGCATTTGGTCTGTATTGGACATTGATGATTGTGTCTTCCTGTCCTGATTCTGTGCATATCGGTTCCATGATGTTCTTTCAACCTGTATGGCTCTGCCCTTTTCAGCTCGGCGATGAACTCAGAGACAAACGAGAGTGTGGCTATAAAGAAAATCGCAAACGCTTTCGATAACAGAATTGATGCCAAGAGGACTCTCCGGGAGATCAAGCTGCTTCGGCACATGGATCATGAAAATGTATGGTTCTATAACTCTTCCTGCATTTTTTTTCCCGTCTTCTTCATCAGTTTTCTTTTCTCAATCTGGATGTTTGGAACTCGAAAGAAAGCTTCTATACGTATATCTGAAGGTTTATTTCGAGATCATTTAGCTAACCCTAAAATGGCATAATCTGAGAGTTCTGTAGTAGAAGCCGATGCTTTCCTTTTTCGCATTTCTACGTGGAAGTAGTAGATTTTACGTAACATACCATATTTCCGTTATCACAAAGATGGAAACCAGACATTCTCTGCGATGACAGGTTCCATTGTCTTTGAGATTTTGACGCGTCTTTTAGATGATATCTGGTGTGTGAATATCACTGATCAATAGAGACTAGAGAGTAATATATCTGCACATCCATCCATGTCATTGTATTTTCTTTTTTTCTTGATTTGCCATAGAAGGCGTAAAGATCTATGGGAAACTGCTAATTGCTCTAGCAACTGTTCTTCATAAAAGTTTATCATAAGTTACGATCGTTTCTTACTTACCATAGCGGGCAAACTCCTCTTTATACTGTAAACATTTCTGACATATGGATGTTATCTATTGTTTTCTCTGATCATCTTAGTCGTTTTCTTGTCTCCAGTTAATCTGTTTTTACTTTTGTGGCAACATATATTCGTGTCTTTTCCCAGTGTTCGGAGGTTAATACTCGTGTTAATACTTACCGAAGCTGAGGGTTTCCTCAAAAGTTATTGTATTTCAATCTTTCCCTCTTTTTTTTTCCAGATCGTTGCTATCAGAGACATAATACCGCCACCGCTGAGAGAAACTTTCAACGATGTTTACATTGCATATGAACTGATGGACACTGACCTCCATCAAATCATACGCTCAAATCAAGGACTGTCGGAGGAGCATTGCCAGGTTTTGAGTTTGAAATTTTTTGTTTTTCCTACTTCTGTGTATTCGGGATTGATTTATTTTTTTTACATTGTTTAGTTGAATATGGTGATGAAATAGACTCGGAGTTAGAGAAATGAGTATAGTGATTAAATAGCACCGGGTGATGACCTCTAGTTTCTCAACCATAATTTGGTAGTGGTTTACGTTTCGTTTTGGTTTTACATATGAATAATATTTCACAGTATCGTTAGACAAACCGGACTAACTGAAATCTATTTCCCCCTTTTTTCAGTACTTCTTGTATCAGATCCTCCGTGGATTAAAATACATCCACTCTGCCAATGTTCTGCACAGAGATCTGAAACCCAGCAATCTCCTCCTGAACGCGAACTGTGACTTAAAGATATGTGATTTCGGGCTTGCTCGTGTCACTTCTGAAAGTGATTTTATGACAGAATATGTTGTCACTAGGTGGTATCGTGCTCCGGAGCTGTTGTTGAACTCTTCTGACTATACTGCAGCTATCGATGTCTGGTCAGTAGGCTGTATTTTTATGGAGTTAATGGAACGGAAGCCACTCTTCCCTGGCCGAGATCATGTTCAACAGCTCCGCTTACTTCTTGAGGTACCCTTTTTCTGGTTTTTTACATTTTCTTAACCAGCATACGTGGGGAAAAAACGCAACTCTCTGAGACATGAAAAACCTATTTCTCAGTACTGTCGTATGTCTTTAACTTCAAAGACCCGTGACATGACAATTTTAGATGTGGATTATGTTCTGTCAGAAATCAGTTTCTACCTTATATAGCTCTTCTAACAGCTTGCATGTCAAAGACTCGAAAGAAATGATTTGTAGCACAAACACGATTGACACGGGTCATGGGCTTTCGCAGCTCATAGGCACCCCATCGGAAGACGAGCTTGAATTCTTGAACGAAAATGCTAAGCGGTATATCAGGCAGCTTCCTCCTTATCCTCGCCAATCTTTCTCGGAGAAGTTCCCAAATGTGCATCCCCTGGCTATAGACCTTGTCGAGAAGATGTTGACGTTTGATCCCAGACGGAGAATCACTGGTGAGTTCATTCGCTGTCAAAATGCAATTTGGTATTAGGGTATTCATTCCTTTTCCTGCAAAACTCTTCTCACCAAAATAAAAAGAGAGAGATTGTGAATCTTTCAAGTTTCTAGTCTAAGTACCAGAGGATTCAACTTTATGCATAGGCCATTCACCTTCACTGAGAGACGTTAATCGATGTATGGGTTAATGTTTTCATCCAGCCCTCATCTATATGATATGCATAGAGAGTATGATCAATATGTTTGCCCTTCTGGACCTAATGTGTTAACTTGCAGTTGAAGATGCACTTGCTCATCCATACCTGAACTCGCTTCACGACATCAGTGACGAGCCAGAATGCACAACTCCCTTCAGCTTCGACTTTGAGCAACATGCACTGACCGAAGACCAAATGAAGGAGCTCATATACCGAGAAGCACTCGCCTTCAACCCTGAGTATCAGCAGCACTAGCTTGTAAAAGATTCACTCACATACAAAAATCATCCCATTCATCTCTGTGGCCCTGGATCAACAATTTGGCTGGCTTTTTATTCTTAATCCTCTCCTGAAAACCATCGTTTTGTTCTGTGTATAAAGCGTCCAACCCTGTGGAAAAAAAATTGCTCTGGAAACTTTTTTGGAGATACTTGGAGGGGACCTTAGTAGAGAGACTGGTTGCAGTATTCATGGGGGCTGAAACTTGGACCATCTTGTTGTTTTCTTTTCAGTCTGTCTTTGAATATTTTGGCTCTCTTTCTTGTTCTTTGCCACCATTTTCCTGACGCAGAAGACTTCAGTCTTGTCTCAGAAGTCAGAACATGTTTATGTCATCTGTCATGTTATTTATACTAGTTGAGTTTTCATTTTAACCATTCTTGCTAATTAGGTTTGTGTCAAGTAATTAAAACAGTAATCATATGGTTTGTGAGTCAGTTAAGGTGAGTTTCCTCGAGTGATGATGTGAGCAACTTTAAATGTCACAAATTCACAATCAATACATGAGCCTGTTGTCAAGGATATCCAACAAGGTCTATAAAATTGAAAGGGGATAATCTGAATGTATGTTGTAATGATACAAGCTGGTGTATGAATGGACAGCAGAGCAGGAACCATCATCATCATCAGCTTCTGTAATAATAATCCTTGGAGAGGTGAGATGAAGAGGGAAGGAGTCTTATCCTATGCCGGAAAATTTGAGATTCATAGAAGACAGTTCCTGTCTTATCTGTTTTGTTTCTCAGGTTGTCAACCCTTAAGATTGCCAAAGAACTTTGAGAGCGGTACTGGACCATCATTGTCCTGTTCTTTGTTTTTTCTCGAGCCTTTCTCTCTCGTCTTGTGCTTACTCTCTTTTGATCTTTTAGAACTCGATCTTGATCTTCTAGATTCCTCATCATCACTACTTGATGACTCTGAGGATGAGTCCGAGGAGTTAGAGTTGGAAGATCTCCTCCTCGAACGCTGTTAAATCAAAACACAACCAAATTAAGCCAATAGAACCAACACATGAGAGCAACCATAGAATAGAATCCATCGTTTTTCAGCATACCATTATTGTATTTCTAAGGATTCGAAAGGTTATAGCAATTGATTAATACAAGGAGTGCAACCACAGTGGATTAGTGGTCATCTCCATTGATAAAGATACCTTCTTAACGAGATGCAATTTAGCAACAAAATAAAGCTCATATTATCGATTATCGAATATATAAGCACCTTTCTCTTTTTGCTTCTCTTTCTCTTCGATTCTTTGTCCTTCTTATCTGTGAGATCATCGGGCCAATAGAAATTATCCCCAATATAAGATAAATGATCAAAGTAAAGAAGTTGATCATATACCTTTTCTGGATTTATCACTAGAATGATTCCTTCCTTTCGAGAGCTTTAATGCCCTTTCAGCGTCCAACTGAGCTCTATATTCACGCATCATTCTATCAGTATCTGCTTCGAGTTCCCCCTTTCTCATTTCTTCTTCCTATTATGTCATGTAATGCAGATAAAATGAGAAACATTTCCCACGTACCATAAACACAATGCAAAGAATCCAATAAGGAAAGATAACCAAAGAGTTCATAAAAATTTCTTAAGACTGCTCAGCCATCCTAGGGATCATGCAAGATGATCCTTAAAAATAACATCACGCCCTATCATCGAAGGGCAAAGAAGGAAACTTTACGAGGGCGAACTAAGAATCTGCATGGCGGTGCATGTATGATTTATCAACAGGGGATGGTCTATTGAGGAAAGTGGCAGTATAATTAGATCTTCTAATTCATTATCACTAAAAATGTTTCTAGGGCCTTATTAACATCTACTCGAGGCTCAGAAGACTTTCAAACCCTTTATTCTCACACTGAAGAGCATAAAAAGATCGAACGAAAGTTGTTATTACAACTCACCTTTTGCTTCTTCTTAAATTCTTCCCAGGTAATGGTATGTGAAGTCTTGAGGCTAGCCAAACGAGCAGCATGCCACGCTGGTGTATGAAATGAACCATCCACCTGCGTCTGTCCTCATCAGAAATGCTCTGGAAAGAAAACTAACCCAACCCATATGACTACAGCAAGATCTAGATTCTAGCCGTATCAAAAGAGATGAATAGATGAACAAAAGCACCGCCCGAAGTCGAAATTTTTGTAAGCATCCACTGCACACGAGCACAAGGACCATCCGCAGAGCGTATTTTTACGTAAAGGAACCATTTCCGTGGTCGAAGAATGCAAAGCAATTATAAATACTTGAACTTCTGGAACACACCTCATTTCTACTTACACAATATATGGAACATTTAACTGACTTCAGATCCCTTTTCTTTCCTACATCTATATCAGTGTAATAAAGTTCCATTGCTTGGTTACCTGAATTAATACACCTCAAGGACGAAAAAAAGGAGAAAAAAAGCTTGCCCCTCGATGTTTTTGATCTACATTTTGCTGATACAAAGAAAGCCTAGAATACAATTATCCTAAAACACGAACGCTTAACGATTCAAACGGAAGATATCCAGCGATATTTGTGCGAATTAAGATTTCTCTAAGTCCAACAGCAACAAGCAAGTTCTTCCCTGAAATTCGGAAGTAATAGGGGATCTGTATACAGAATCCAATTCACGAGGGGTATTTCAAAAGGGCGATCACGGAACTCGAGACCCATCAACCCGAGGATCAAACAATTCGAAATCGATTAAATTTCTTCGACCCATCGGAGCGAATAATTAGTAGAATGGAAGAGGACAAACCATGCCGTCATCGATCTCCTCCGGAGCGGTGGAGCTGGATCCGACCCTGGATCTCTGCATAGCCTTGTGAGCTTGGTTCTTCCCCATCGTGTGACGATGACCCAGATGAAAAGTCCGAGAATGTCTTCCACGGGGACGAGAAATTGAGAGGAAAATCAGAGAAAATTATAACGGGGATTTAGGGTTTGGTGTTAACGGTCTATTCGTCCAGGGATCTGTGAAGAGAGCAGGAGTGGGGACATGTGAGGTAGAACCCAGCGCAGAATTGTATTGGAGTTTTTAAGGGGGGAATTATAAATTTATAACCGATAAATATTAAACAGTAATAATAAACACAGGAAATAGAAAGATTTTTTAGAATCAATATATATGTGTATATATATTACGATTACAATTTCCTCCAAATACGCTAATTTTATTTTTTTTAAACAGTTTTTCTTTTTTTCGAAATCTAACTTAAATGACATTCTAAAAATATACTCCCATTTAAAATATTTGTAGTTTTAGATTATTTTCCATATTTAAAAATATTTATTATTCTATATTTTTTAACCATTTTTTTATAATAGTTTCCAATTTTATCTCTATATAATTTTAATAAATTATTAATAATAATATTATTTTTATCATTAAGTATATGTTATTTTTTTTTAAATGTGAAATAATCAAAAACAATTTTGAAACGGAGGAAGTATATAATTTAACAAAAAAGAGAACTACACATCAACCAACCAAAAAACGATATTAAATACTGTATATTTTTAGATTTCTTACAAAATTAATTATTTGTGTATTTTTTCTGTTACTAAACCCATATTCATACGGGATTTTTCTTACCACAGCTGGGTTTTTTCCTTCCCACTCAATTGAACCACTTCGTGTTTCGTAGCTCTCTCACACGATTTGGCGCCCCGGAAAGACGAGCTGAGGTTTTAGATTTGTTCTTCTCTATTAATTTTCGGATTTTAGAATCGTTTCAGAGTTTATCGTCTGGAATCGATGTAAAAGTTAAGTCCTTTCCGAAGTTTTTAGGGTCTAGGGTTTCTGCGGTCTGAGATACTGTCGGGATGCGACGGTGTTTTCTCTTTATACGGTTCCTCTGCTTTCTATGATTGCGCTTTCTAGGGTTTGTGATATTCGTCTGGTTTCTGAATTGCTAACTCTCGAAGGACGTCCCGTTGTGGGCGAATGCGAATCTCTGGTGTTAGATAGCTGATATGCCTCATGTCTCCTGAGTCGTAGATATGTTACGGATTTTCCCTGAAGTTTTCACCTTTCAGGCGACCCATTTGAGTTCAGATCTCGTGTTTTTGCAGTTCCTTTGCCTACCGCAGGGAATAATCATGAGTGGAGCTGGAGAGAAAGCTTCTGGAACCACAAAAACGCCTGCAGATTTCCTCAAGTCGATCCGTGGGAGGCCGGTGGTTGTTAAACTGAATTCTGGAGTTGATTACAGAGGTGTGTCTCTCTGCAACTTATTTTCTTGTTAACTTGCTCTAGTTCCAGCGTATTGTCTGGAGGTAGTTCTGTCTGCCATGTTTATGGAATGAAGCTTTCATGTGTGTTCTGTTCTGTTACTCGTGGTTGGTTTGTTACCTTTTAAGTGGCTTGATTCTCATTCATCTGAACGTTCCTCTGGTTCGTAATTTGGGAATTTTTCCAAGAAAAGAAGTGACTTTTCATTTTCAATTGGTTTCCTTTAAAACCAGAACATTTTCCTATCTTTTACCCGAGGAAAACAGGGATGATATGAGTTGTATAAACTAGTCAGGATGCAACCGTTGTTAGTCGCAAGCTCAACGTAGCCGCTGTTGTGTCTTTTCTCATCTGGTCTTCCATTCTCTTGCTTCCATCTTACCAATCTTGTCTGTTATCACTTTTCTGCTAATCATTTGTAAATGGAGGACGTTATTGCACATTTTTTTATGTTATGGTTCTTCATGCTGTGGAATAAATTTTGAGAGCTAGAGCCAATTATATTTATATATTTTTTTTAATCTCACCCGGTTCTGGAGCTTTTATGACATTCTTCAATGAAACCCGCTTGCTCTCTTGAACTCAATAGTCCATAGCATTCAAGATCATGAAAAATTTCGAGGTTGACCTTTTGTTTTGCAAGTCAGGTGTTGTTCTACTGCATATCATGCTGCTCTCTTGAACTAAATATGTCATGTTTCATGCTCAAGGACATGTATTGAAGCTTTTGCTCTGCTCTTGTTTAGGCTAATAATAACTCATTCTTTACAGGAAAATATCCTTCTCGTATACACGACATTTCATACAATCCACTTTTTTCCCCCCTCTTATTGCCTCTCTCAGTTTTTAGCATGGCTTGTTGAGCTTATTTTTCATTCTATTCGTTTTGAACCTTGATTAAGGTGTGCTTTTGACCATGTAAACAGGCATTCTTGCTTGTCTTGATGGATACATGAACATAGCAATGGAACAGACCGAGGAATATGTAAATGGACAGCTGAAGAACAAATACGGAGACGCTTTCATCCGTGGAAACAATGGTGAGTATTCACATATGATATCATTCATCTCATGTTATTAATGTAAATCATGTACACATCGTTCTTTTCCAGTGTATCTGAACCTTTTGTCTCCTGTTTCGGTGCAGTTCTTTACATCAGCACAACAAAGAGGACCTTGGCAGATGGAGCCTAGCTAGCCTTGATGTTACTACTATCAATGGTCACCCCGGTTGCCATTTTTCTTAATCTTCTCTCCCATCTTTGCTAAAAACAGGATCTTTCACTTGACCCGTTTTTGGAGAACCCGATATTATCTCCGCCGATACATCGTAATTTTGAAATCTTTGTTTGATTAAAAGGAATGAGATTCGACCCTATGCAACATCCGTTAGGGGCATAAATGACAAAAGGGTTGTGGGAAATAAGAGAGCAAACACAGAATTCTCTTTTGTTTGTTCACTTGGAGCAGAAGTTCGAGGTTTGGAGGTTGCAACAAAGTGTTACGTTCCTACCAAAAAAAAAAAACAAAGTGTTACGTCCCTTTCACGACCCCAGAGATTGCGAATGATCCAAGCTTTGCAGACGTGATCGCTTACGTAGGACTTTGAGGTCACTGCCCACGTTCTTGTCTGCAACCACTAAGGCAATTTCATCTTTGAGATCCAACTAGTTCCATCCATATATATGAATTTGAATAATAAATTAAGATTTTATCATTTATTTGGATAAAGTTTATAGGAAGATGATAAAAAGTATGGCTCTTTGATCTGTGTGTTGATAGACATATGTTCTGAAAGTGGACCATCATACCATAAGGTGTGGCTAAAGTTCTTTTTGTCCATTTCTTAATGAAACAGCAGAAGAAGTCGCAAGGAATCTGATTTTATCCTTCTCTGCGATTGCGTTTGCCGGTTGCGTTTACATGTTCAGCGATCGCGATTGATAGTTTTTGTAATGAATTTACCTGCAGAAAAACATTTGTTTCACGACTCGAGCTTTGCATGAACCATAATAAGATTTGATAAGATTTCAAAGAAGTGCCCTTCAGTGATCCCACGTTATTACAGACAAGCTAAATGCAAATTAGATTTGTCTTCTCAATCCTATATAAATAAAGCCTCTCTCTTTCTCTTCTTTCTGCAGAGAGAGATGGAGAGGGGAGAGAGAGGACACGTACTGGCAGTGCCGTATCCGAGCCAAGGCCACATAACACCGATTCACCAATTCTGCAAAAGACTTGTCTCAAAAGGCATGAAAACCAGTCTCGCCCTCACCAACTTCATCCACAGTTCCATCAAATCTGACCCTTCTCCCTTCGTTCCCTTGGAAACCATCTCCGACGGCTACGACAGCGGCGGGGGT